ATAATGACACTTTCCAGTATTGTGCTGTGTCCTCTATTTTCATTTTTCATTTTTGCTACTCTAGGCGTCGTAATCTAAGTAAGGAGACCAGATATGCAGGCTGGCAAAAGTTGGACTTTGGCTATTTTAAAATTTTTAAAATTTTTTATTGTATTCTATTATTTTTAAAATATTTTCTTTTAAAAAATGTTTTATTTATTTATTCATGAGAAACACACAGAGAGAGGCAGAGGCAGAGGGAGAAGCAGGCTCCATGCAGGGAGCCCGATGTGGGACTCGATCCAGGGGCCTTCAGGATCATGCCCTGAGCCAAAAGCAGATGCTCAGCTGCTGAACTACCCAGGCATCCCAAGATTTTATTCTTTATTCATGAAAGACACACACAGAGAGAGAGAGACAGAGGGAGAAGCAGGCTCCATGCAGGGAGCCTGAAGTTGGACTCGATCCCAGGTCTCTAGGATCATGCCCTGGACTGAAGGTAGCGCTAAACTGCTGAGCCACCCAGGCTGCCCTTGGCTATTTTTTTAAATAAAGCTTTTCTTCCAAAGAGAAGAAGCTTCATCAGACAGCTGGTCAAATTGGTTGGGTAGAATGGGATGCCCATGAGATGCAACAAATGGTGAACTAGAAGATAATCCACATTTTTGCAGCAAAGGCAGAGGGATGTGTGAGGGGGTTGGAGGAAACAGAGAAAATGGAGTTATTTGAAATCTAATCTCTTTGGAGCTTGAAGCAAACATTTTAAAAGTGCATCTCAGAAAGCTCCCTTAAACTTGTCACTGCTATAGTCTTCATATCTTTATATCTTAGTAATTACCATAAATTCTTACCTTTTTGAACAAAACCTTTTACCCTATCCTTATCAATCTCAGGACAATAAGAATCATCCTCACACATTGGGTCAATTTAAATGTAAGGATATCCCCATTTTGGTCTTCTTCTGCTGCCCTTCAGCATTGTTTCAGTGGTGAGGCTGAAGTTTTAAACATCAAAAGAATCTTACCGATTTTGACTCTGGCTTTAGTGACTCAAAGGGCTGCCTTGGCCCAGAGAACTGGCCCAGGGTGCCCAGCCCTGTAATTGGTATCCAGGGCCTAGTGTTTCTCAGCAAAAGTTGGATCAAAAATACTGAGGACTGTCACTAGATGTCCCTCTTGTGTCTCTAAAGAGGCTGAGGAGGCGGGGCTCCCTTCAGGATTGAAAGGAAGCTAAAACTGAGAGAACTTTCTTTTTTATTGTCCTCATCCAGAACGTTTTTATTAAGTTAATTAATAAATTCCTGATCAGGAAGATACTTTTTGCCACTTATTTAGCCAATAGCATTATTGGAGTATAATGATCAAGTGTGCCTATTAAAAAAAAAATCCTCACACATATACTGGGAGCAAGTGGTGTTAGGATTATCTGTAGCAATAGATTGGGAGGATGGAAGAGCTTTATTTTGGAGGGGAGGTGTAACTATTACTTCAAGCTTGAGAGTGATGTGAAAGAAAGAAAGTAAAGGCACAGTCTTCTGCTTGCCTCAGAGCCTGGCTTCCATAAAAGTGGTTTGGTATAGCTGGAAGTACTTGGGGTGCTCTGCTTGGAAAGGAGAGGCACCTGGAGTGTGAACAGTGAGCTGGATGCAGGGAACTCGATGCCATCTCCTTAGTGAAGAGCACGTTTGTCTCTGCAAATGCAGAACATGTCTTTACAATGTGATTTGCAATTACAAAGGTAATGACATTGTACGTGAATTGAATTCTCCTATTTATCTTTAAAAGACAGCAGAATATAGACATTCTATTAGCACTCCCCAAAGTAAGAGGTCCGCAGCCTTCTTATCTTGTGTGCATCTTCACGGATGCCACGGCAACGTTAATCATTTTACCTGAGTAATTCTTCCATTTCTCATTACCTGGGGGATTGTTAATGGCTGAGACTACTTCTCAGACTCTTTGCTCCCGCTCAATCAAGCCGTGGAGGCGCCAGTTTACTTTTATTGATCAGTGGGTTCCTGACAACCTCCCCCCCCAAGGAAGCAGCATCATCCTTTTTTAACTTAAAGGGGAACAGATCGCCTTAAAGTTTACAGCTAAAAGCTTCTAAGCATAGCATGCAAAAATTTTAGCATGCTGCTAATTGTTCTGTTTAAATAGTCCAAGCAATATTTCAGAAAGCTGCCAAACTCCGAACTCACATCCCGTGATCAGATAGCAAACCCATTTCAAATGCCTTTTTAGGCCTTTTTAATTAGACTAAGATGCACTTCATTCCCACTCCACTCGCTGACCTCAAAGGTAAATAACTGTGATAAATCAAATGAAGCCCTTTCTTTGCGGAGCTCTGAGGTGCGCCCACGCTGTCTGCCATATTGTGCTCTCCCCTACTACTCTCCCATTTCTACAACCGGGTCTGCAGAAAACTGGGAGGACCACTGGGTTCCCTTGAGCCACACCTCTGCTGTCCATGCATCTAAAAGACCAAAATCAAATGATACTCATTGGAGATGCTTCGACTTTTCGTCCTTTTGTTTTGGGCTCAATTGCATCATAATGTGAAAGAGTGAAAGGATCCCCACACAGAAAGCAAATCAGCTTCCCCCCCCCCCCCCGCCCGCACCCTCCTCTTGGTTTCTGATGCATGTTTAGGGGGTTGTAACCTCACTCCTGAAATAATTCCTTTTTGTAGGAGGAAGCTGTCTTCTCCGCACCGCCCCCTCCCTGCCCCCCACCGTAAAGGCTGCTAAACTAGTTCTTCTTGGAAGGAGAAATATTATTTTAAAAGAAGCTGGGTTGCTTTCTGCAAGAAGATGGCATTTTTGAGAAAACCTATTATGTTTCCAAATGCCATTTCCCCTTTTCTTGTTTAATGTTTTTAAAGGGCAACAGTGAATCTCATTTTAGGCCCGCAAGCTTGGGCCAATGTCGCTGGGGCTAATTATGAGTTTGCTCACCCAAGACTCCCAAATATCCGAGGCGACTCACTCAGAAGGTAGGTGTACTCTTCCAAATATTGTGAATTCAGGAGCCAGTCCCCGCCACTCCCAATCTGTGATAAAAACAAAACAAAAACAAACAAACAAAAAACCCAACTTGTTCAGCAGGGTGATTTTGATTCTTCCTGCTGGTGACCTTAAGTAAGAGCCACAGAACGGAGCGCGGAGGAGTCCCCCTCTGTCCTCCTGGCATCTTAGTCTGGAAGCTGAATTTAATGTCAGCCCCAGCCAGGCCGGCCTCCCGCTTCCCGGCACTGTCACAGGCCGTTGCCACCACTGCCCGAGAGTAGCTGGCAGTCCCCTGGGGCTGAGACCCCGCGAGAAGGCCAGGGTGCCCCGCACACCCGCGCAGGCTCCAGCTGCTGGCCACCCCTATGGGGACTGCGCGCCCCCTCACAGCTCCCGCAGGGCTGGGGGCTCTCCTGGCATGGCGCTGCTCCACGGCGTCCGTTCCACCCTCTCTTCTCCAGCATAGTTTATTTATAGGGAGCTAAATTCTCCAACAGCATGGAGTGAGGGGTGACCAAATTCGTCCAGCCCTCTCCCCGGTTCATTCCCTGCGACACAGACCCCATTTGATAAACAAGCATCAGACAAGAGCGAACCGAACCGGGCCAGGGGGCCTGCTCTGGGAGAATATGTGCTGCGTTTGCCGGGGAAGGAGGGATGGAGGTGACGGTCCGGGAGGATGGCCGCCGCGGTTCTCAGCTGAGGTGAAGACTCACCGGCCAAGAGCCGGATGAATGACCACCTCCGGGGCGCCATCTCCTTTCCTTTTTCTTTCCAACATCCGAGGAAAGGAGAGGAAGACAGAGAAGCAGACAAAACCCAGGGTGAAGAGACAAAGAGGGAGGGGGAGGGGCGTGAAGAGAGAGAATATGAATATTATAGTCAAGCTATGAGCATATATGAAGGAGATGAACACGCCGAGAGACACAAATCCTCATCTTTCCTGCAATCTACAAACATGAGAGGTGCACAGCTCCCAGGGATGCTCGGCCGCAACGCCAGCACATCCGCCTCTCCACTCCACTCAGTCCTCTAGCCCCCGCCTGCCCTGCCCGCCTGGCCTCCTCAGACTCCCGCCCCGGCTCCGCCGGCTGGGGTACCACTGGGTCCCGCCCTTGTGTAAGTTTCCGGCTGGCCCCGCCCCGTCCCGCCCCGCCCCCCGCGCCTTGGCCCCGCCCCAAGCCCAGAGCCCGCTGGGCGGCGAGCTGATTGGCCAGCGCCTGGCGTAGCCCGGCTCGGCAGCTCGGGCTCTCTCTGGCTCTCTCCAGACTCCACCGCCAGTAGTTTGCGGCATCGGGAGCAGCAGCAGCAGCAGCAGCAGCAGTATCGGCAGTGACGGGCGCAGGGGGAGACCGACAAGCGGGCGCGGACGACAGCACAGCTCCAGCACACCATGCCGGACTTGCCCAGAGGGCAGTGGCACTCGCGTCTCTAGCCTGGCGCAGGCCCTTGGTGCGTTGAGCTCGGCGACGTTGCGGCCGAGCGCATTCATCGGAGATCCAAAACCTCCCACCTCTGCTTGCTCACAGTCAACACTCACAGTCCCTGCACCACACACTCACTCTTCCTCTCTCACACATTCACACACAGCCAGACAGCAAGATAAACCTTCCGAGTGCGACAGCGTCCAGGAGGGAGGGAATCCAAACGCAGCGCGGCCAGCTCCTCTCTGGGAGGATGGAATCAAGACGCTCCCGCAAGTAAACTTTGGCGGCGACATAACCGTCGACCGTGGCAGCTGCTGAGGCGGACCTTAGCGACATTCGACTGAGCTAGGAGGATTTCCTTCCATAGCCGCGGCGGCGGCGGCGGCGGCGGCGGCGGCGACGGTGGCGGCGGCGGCGGCCCTCAGAACGACACCCTAGCCTAGACCAAGGAAGAAGGTGAAGCCCCGGGTATTCACAGCAGCAGCCCCGCCTCTCCTGGCCGGTACTGTCGTCGCTTTCCTTCCTCTCTTCCCCATTCCCTGCCCCCCACCCCCCACCCCCGACCCCCGGCCCTTTGGAAAGAACTGGACTTTGATTTTCTTGGATAAATCACCATCGCCTCGTTTTCACAAACTTGACGTGGAGGCTCGGGCTGCGTTGTTAACTTTGATTTCCGAGACGCAGATGCCCGCAGTCTAACTGCTCTGTGGAGGGGACTCCGAGCCCACCTCCAATCTTGGACGGGCGCCCCCCCCCAGCCATCTGAAGCCAACCTCAGCGCGAGGGAGCGCTCTCTTGTCTCAGCAGCCCCCCCCTCTCCCTTCCCCCTTCTTTTGCTGGCCACAGGACCGCCATCCGGCTCAGCTGGATACCCAGGCGCCTGCGGCGCTTGACAGCAACTCAAAGTCCCACCTTTGATAATCCTTTCTCCCTAACAGACCTTGAAAAGGTCAGCGTGCCCCCCCCCCCCGACCTCGGAGGGCGCGTTCCAGGCGGGTTCTCTCTCCGCAGCGAGCCAGGAGAGCTGGAGGGAGGTCTTTGCGCATGCCAGGTGAACAGAGAGCGCGTTCGCCAGCGCCTGTGCGGGTGCGCCGCGGCGGGCCAGGCAGTGCCTGAGAGGCTGCACCCCCACAGTCCTTCAAGTCTTCGCCCCAAGTGCGATCCAGACTCATCCTCCCGTCTACCAGGCAGCTCAGACGGCGTCCGACCCGCAGCCCTGCGCCGCTGCGGCCAGTCGAGCCTGGCTAACTTTGAAGGGGGAAGACTGAGGAGCCGGGCTGGAGGGAGGGGCCTCGGGGCCGCGCGGCGCTCCTTTGGTCCCCCGGAGCCTCCAGGGCCCCCGACAGTCCCCTCCGAGTCTGCTGCAACTTCAGCATTGGAGCCGGCGCGGGTGTCTCCCCCGCGCCGCCGGGCCGCCCTGGGCGGGACTCCTCCCGCGGCCTCAGGGGCCCCGGGGCGCGCGCAACAGGCGGCCCGAGTCGGCGGGAAGCTGGAGCGCCGGCGGCGTCGGCCTCGGAGGGGAGTGGAGAGGCGAGGCCAGGCAGAGCCCCGCGCAGCCATGGAGTCGCTCCTGCTGCCGGTGCTGCTGCTGTTGGCTGTACTGTGGACGCAGGCAGCCGCCCTCATTAACCTCAAGTACTCGGTAGAAGAGGAGCAGCGCGCCGGGACGGTGATCGCCAACGTGGCCAAGGACGCGCGCGAGGCAGGCTTCGCTCTGGATCCACGGCAGGCCTCTGCCTTCCGTGTGGTGTCCAACTCAGCTCCGCACCTGGTGGACATTAACCCCAGTTCAGGCCTGCTTGTCACCAAGCAGAAGATTGACCGCGACCTGCTGTGCCGCCAGAGCCCCAAGTGCATCATCTCGCTTGAGGTCATGTCCAGCTCAATGGAGATATGCGTGATTAAGGTGGAGATCAAGGACCTGAACGACAATGCTCCCAGCTTTCCAGCAGCACAGATTGAGCTGGAGATCTCAGAGGCGGCTAGTCCTGGCACGCGCATCCCGCTGGACAGCGCCTATGACCCGGACTCGGGCAGCTTCGGCGTGCAGACGTACGAACTCACGCCTAATGAGCTGTTTGGCCTGGAAATCAAGACGCGTGGCGATGGCTCACGCTTTGCAGAACTTGTGGTGGAGAAGAGTCTGGATCGCGAGACACAGTCGCACTACAGCTTTCACATCACTGCACTCGACGGCGGCGACCCACCGCACCTGGGCACTGTTGGCCTCAGCATCAAGGTGACAGATTCTAATGACAACAACCCGGTGTTTGGCGAGTCCACCTATGCAGTGAGCGTGCCAGAGAACTCACCTCCCAACACACCAGTCATCCGCCTCAATGCCAGTGACCCAGACGAGGGCACCAATGGCCAGGTGGTCTACTCCTTCTATGGCTATGTCAATGACCTCACGCGCGAGCTCTTCCAGATCGACCCACACAGTGGCCTTGTCACAGTCACCGGTGCCTTAGACTACGAAGAGGGCCACGTGTACGAACTGGACGTGCAGGCCAAGGACCTGGGGCCCAACTCCATCCCGGCACACTGCAAGGTGACCGTCAGCGTTCTGGACACCAATGACAACCCACCAGTCATCAACCTGCTGTCAGTTAACAGTGAGATGGTGGAGGTAAGCGAGAGCGCCCCCCCGGGCTATGTGATTGCGCTGGTGCGGGTGTCTGATCGAGACTCCGGCCTCAATGCGCGCGTGCAGTGCCGTTTGCTGGGTAACGTGCCCTTTCGGCTGCAGGAGTATGAGAGCTTCTCCACTATCCTGGTGGACGGTCGGCTGGACCGCGAGCAGCATGACCAGTATAACCTCACAATCCAGGCACGCGACGGCGGTGTGCCCATGCTGCAGAGCGCCAAATCCTTTACGGTTCGCATAACCGATGAGAATGACAACCACCCGCATTTTTCCAAACCTTACTACCAGGTCATTGTGCAGGAGAACAACACGCCTGGCGCCTACCTGCTTTCGGTGTCAGCGCGAGACCCCGACCTGGGTCTCAATGGCAGTGTCTCCTACCAGATTGTGCCGTCCCAGGTGCGGGACATGCCTGTCTTCACCTATGTCTCCATCAACCCCAATTCCGGCGACATATATGCGCTTCGATCCTTCAACCACGAACAGACCAAGGCGTTCGAATTTAAGGTTCTGGCCAAGGATGGAGGACTGCCTTCGCTGCAGAGCAACGCCACAGTTCGGGTCATCATCCTCGATGTCAACGATAATACCCCGGTCATCACGGCCCCACCCTTGATCAATGGCACAGCCGAGGTCTACATTCCCCGCAACTCCGGCATAGGCTACCTCGTGACCGTTGTCAAAGCAGACGACTATGATGAGGGTGAGAATGGCCGGGTCACCTACGACATGACCGAGGGCGACCGCGGCTTCTTTGAAATGGATCCGGTCAATGGGGAAGTCAGAACCACTCGCACCTTTGATGAGAGCTCAAAGGCTTCTTATGAGCTTATTGTGGTGGCCCATGACCATGGCAAGACGTCTCTCTCCGCCTCTGCACTAGTCCTAATCTACCTGTCCCCTGCTCTCGATGCCCAAGAGTCTATGGGCTCGGTGAACTTGTCCCTGATTTTCATTATCGCGCTGGGCTCCATTGCCGGCATCCTCTTTGTCACTATGATCTTCGTGGCAATCAAGTGCAAGCGAGATAACAAAGAGATCCGAACCTACAACTGCAGGTAGAGCCAACTTTTTTTCTTTCCTTTGTCTTAGATGAAAAAGGTGTATCTGTGTCTGTGTGAAAATCCCAGTGCTTTTGTTTACTACTTAAGTGCATGCTCTGTACATACTGTGCTTCTTGGAGGGGGAAAGTTTGTGGCAGTCCAAGTTGATCGATTCTTTTGATCTGACAATGTGCTGGAAGACAATCATTTACTGTTCCAGTGGTGGATTCTGTCACATAATGATGATGAGCAGTAAAGCAATGATCATTTTAAAATTTGCGCAGCTGTCTCCATGAAGTTATGTCAGGAAAAAAAATGAGAGAGGGAGAGAAGGAGAGAGAGAGAGAGAGAGAGAGAGAGAGAGAGAGAGAGAGAGAGACTATTTTCAGCAAAACCAAGTCCCATAACTTGATCTGAGGGGCACAGTGTTTTGAGGACAGATACTGAAAGGAGAGGGAGTGCTGCTGGTTGCCTGGTCCTGTTGTAGGGATAAGCTGAAGAGACCTGTAATTGGGTCTCTAAGGTAGGAAACAGAGAGTTGAGGGAAGAGAAAACAGGAATGTGTGGTGAAGCAGGTGACTAGTGTTTTTACAAAGTGTGTTCTTGGCTTGTTTTGTATCCATTCCCCAGACATCTGGCTATGTAAGGTGAAATTCTACCAGTCGCATATCTTTTCAAATATCTGGTTGGTTGGTGGGGGTAGAGACCAAACATCTCAATGAGGGATAGGACTTTGCTTCCAGATGTTGCAGTAAAAATAGCAATCTTCTGGAGCTGATGGTGCTTTTCTGTATTTTGGTTTATGCTGTGGCATTAAGATCTGGTCCCTACCAGTGGATGTCACTATGCGTTATTGTGTTACACTTTTTCTTGAAGTGTATGCAGGGTGTGTGTGTGTGTGTGTGTGTGTGTGTGTGTGTGTGAGAGAGAGAGAGAGAGAGAGAGAGAGAGAGAGAGAGAGGGAGGGAGGGAGAGAGAGAATGAGAATAGAAATGCAGAAATCAGAATGACAAGTAGTATTTTAAAAACAAGATTTTCTGATAAACACATTAGAAGGTCTTGTTGAAGCCCTTCCTTACAGCTGGATAGAACAAATTAATCTAAGTATTTCTGGAGTCCAATTTAGGATAATACATGTAATTTTTTTCCAGCAGTATCTCATCGAAATGGTTGAAAAAAAGAAGTTGTTTCTTTAGTTTGCTGAAATCGAATGATGGTGCTGTTTCCAACCAAGGTGTGCATGTGCTTCCAACACACCTACACATCCAATGTGTCTTTTGTGCCATCTGTGCTTGCACGTTTATCAGTCAAAATATGTTCCTGTAGGTCCAATTTGTATTTGACACCATCTGAAATGCACACTGCTGTGAATTAGAGCCCCCTGAATATGTAACAGCCATGCAATTATTGTTTCCCTTTTACTATTCTCTGCATTACACAAGTTAGTAGACAAATGCTAACCACACATGAATATCAATCAGGTGCCATAAAAGAGCAGCTGCAATGCCTCATAAATGCTTTAATCCTGTTACTAGTGAAATGGCCGTGACTTTTCTTTCCTTCAGATCTGAGTGATTTCAGATGGGAGAAATGGAAATTAATATTTCTCTTACCTTTGAAACCTGTGACTGCCAGTGGCAATTTTTACAGGAGATAAAATGCAGGGTCTGTAAAATTTTATTTATATGGAGATAATGATAGAGTAGACTCTTTTTAAGCCATTTTCTTACTGTAAAGTAACTGTATAAGACCCTTTTCTTGATGAAAAACAAATCATCCTGAAATAAAGATAGTGAAGGCTTTGCCACTTCTTGGTGATGTATGACTAGAAGTGAGAGCTCTTTCAGAGAGCTTGTCAGGGAGATCATTAAACAGGGAAGAAAGCATTTGAAATTAGAGAAGGAAAGAGAGAGAGAGAGAGAGAAAGAAAAAGAAAATCTCAGTACTCTCCAACTTCACTTACATGTGTATTTTGTAAAGAGCTCTGTTCCCTATGATGGTTTGGGATTAATGGAGTACAGTTTAATTAAATAATTGGTCAATACAGAAAGGGCTGCTCAGTGAATGCCTCAGCTAAGTAATTGGACGGGGCGTTGCCAAACTTAACCATCATGGGTAAACAAAATCATTAAAACTTCCCATTGCTTCTGTAAATAGATTAGAAAAGCAAATAAACCCTAGTCCTGAGGTCTTTGGGATTTTATCTGCTCCCAAACTCCAGTAGCATCAGCTTGCCATCACTGCAAGTCTGCCGGAACATAGAGTGAAAGGACGAGGGGAACATAACTGCTCAGCTCTAGGAACATCCCGGGGACAGAGTAAGAATTTGCCTCTAGAAATAGGCAATCTCCCTGTATACTCAGATGTTTTAGAAACCTAAAATTCAAGAGCCTGTCTTTCCCTGTATTAGGCAAGAGGTTTCCTTTTCTCAGCCTCTCCGGAACCTCTTCCTCAAATGCATTCATTTATGAGACTTGCGAGGTGATCTGCAATTGCTGCTGAATTGGGCTCCGTTTTTTTTTTTAATTTTTATTTATTTATGATAGTCACAGAGAGAGAGAGAGAGGCAGAGACACAAGCAGAGGGAGAAGCAGGCTCCATGCACCGGGAGCCCGATGTGGGATTCGATTCCGGGTCTCCAGGATCGCGCCCTGGGCCAAAGGCAGGCGCCAAACCGCTGCGCCACCCAGGGATCCCCTGGGCTCCGTTTTTGTATTCAGACAATTAGCTTTGTTGAGCGAGAATACAGTCACAGTCTTTCCCTTGTAAAGATCAACCCATATAATTTATTAACCCTATTGTTTTGCTGATTATTGCCCAGAAGTTGAATTTTCAAACAACAAGGTGAATCATTATGTACAAAGTAATAAATGACTTTGAGACTCTGTCTACATTTTAATGTATTTCTTTTGACACGTCTCTTAAGGCTTGATGTCTTTGGTGCACATTGCTGGGTCCGTGTCAGTGTTAATTAAATTGAGCTCTTTATGTTCCAGTTGCAGCACAGCTGCTTGTAGGTACACCTGAATGGAGGAAGGATGCTGAATGCACTAACCTTTAAATTCCTTTGCAGTAATTGTTTAACCATCACTTGTCTCCTCTGCTGTTTTATAAAAGGACAGAACAGCAAGTGTCTGCATTGCATCTGGGTTTCTCCCATTAGCAAGAAGCAAGACAAAAGGCAGAGGAGAAAGTTAGCCTAAGGGGAAAGAGGTAAAAAGCATTTCCCCTCATTCAAATGGGTCTGGCTATCAGATTTCTCCAGGAGAGGAGGGGGCAGGGTGGAGAATAGAAGGGAGCAGGGCTACGGCAAAGGGAAGGAGGGAGTGGAGGAGAGAAGCTGAGGATCCCTCAGATGATGGCGTCTGATCTCCTGCCCTAGTCCAAAACTGATGAGGCCAATCAAAGGGGAATCTGACTGAAAGTGTTCATTCGCCACATGGCAAATACCTGGAGGAACTGGAGAGGAGGTTTTTGTTTTGTTTTGTTTATTTCCTTCCATCATTTCCTCTTCTGGTAAATTAATACTTGCTTTGGATTTCACTCAAGGGTTCTTTTGGGTTCCAGGGGAGCTCCACATTTGAGCATTCTCATGCTCTCTCTCCCATAGGCTCAATTTTCCATGTCCTCCCCACCCTTTCGAAATAGACACTCACGATGAGAAATTCCACATCCAAAGTATAGAGACATTTTTGGGGGATGGAGGAATAGGAGGTTTGTATGTTTAATGTGAAAACTGTATGGCCCTTAGCTTGTTTTCACATGTAAACAGCGCAGGGAGAAATCCAATGATGTAATGCACCAGAATAAGAAAGAAGCTGGAGCAGAGGTGGGGTGCAACCCTCTAGGGTGCTTAAGATTTATTAATCAATGCATGGTTTGGGAGGGCCTTAGCAATACATGTTGCCTTTTTTGTCACATAGAATCGCTGAGTACTCCTATGGGCATCAAAAGAAATCAAGCAAGAAGAAAAAAATCAGTAAGAATGACATCCGTCTGGTACCCCGGGATGTGGAGGAGACAGACAAGATGAACGTTGTCAGTTGTTCCTCCCTGACCTCCTCCCTCAACTATTTTGACTACCACCAGCAGACACTGCCCCTGGGCTGCCGCCGCTCTGAGAGCACTTTCCTGAATGTGGAGAACCAGAATACCCGCAATACCAGCGCCAACCACATCTATCATCACTCTTTCAACAGCCAGGGCCCCCAGCAGCCAGACTTGATTATCAACGGTGTGCCTCTGCCTGAGGTGAGTGCCAGTGTGGGACTCTATGAGGTCCTCCCAGACCCCTTCTTCATGCTACTCCCTGGACCACTTTGGTCTCTTTGCTGGAGAATTCTCTGGCAGGGATAGGGAGAACTTCTCTGCCTAAGCCCATTTCTGTAGTCTGGGTTTGCTACTGGAGTCTCTTGGGGGCAGAGGGTAACCCAACATATTGGGCCTTTGCAGGAGTGGATGTTGGGAGTGGGAGCTCAAGGGGTCTGTGCCTTTGAAATCTCTGTAGTCTTCTGGCATAACGTGAATTTGCTCCACCTGTTGCAAATGTGGTGCGTTTGCCAGCCATTGGTACCTACACTCCAGTATAAGTGGCAGAGAGATCAACATGTAGTGTTAAAGATGGGTAAACCCTAGAATGCTCAGGGACCAGTTTCCCAGTGTGAGAGTGATTCCGCTCCAGGAAGCCCCTTTTTGCTTTTTTCTCTGGCCATGTATATGCTTTGCCAAGAATATGGATGGGTTGGTTAAAGGGAGGCAAATGAAAAAATTAAAAAGCCACTTGGCCATTTCTTGGTAGTTCTTATGGTGACATCTGACAAATGAGGAGGTGGAAACTGTCACTTATTAATGAACATTTCAGAAATTAACTATGATTTGAGTTAGCTTTGTTTCTCTTTAGCAGGTATGAATGTTTAACATGAAGCATTTTTTTTTAACATTGTGTGGTCCGATGTTTGCTGGCTCTTAAAATACTTCAGGGTAGTAGGGTGATAACACAAATGATGGTGGATGGGTGGGTGAGTGGAAGGCTATAAGTAACAGTTCTTAAGTTGATTTCCTTTTTCCACGAATTGCTTCAGCTCCTCTTTGGTTGGAAATTTGATGCACTAGAAGGCAGATGCCCTCTTCCAGGCCACTAATGAAAGGAATACTGTATATTTGAAAGGCACTTCCACATTTTTTGAAGCACCTGCACAACCCTTGTCTCTTTTGATATTTGCAATACTAATCTTGATAGATTGCCCTTCAGTAGATGATGAAACAGAGGTCCAGAAATGGTAAAGGAGTTGTTCAGACTCACAAATTAAGGCATAGAGAGACAGAGAGAGAGGAGGGGAGTAGGGAGGGAGAAGCAAAGGGAGAGGCAAAGAGAGAGAGATGACAGACAGACTAGATCTCAGGGCTCTGTAACTCTCTGGCAAGTGTTGCTTTGGTGACACCTTCCTGTCTCAGAAATAATTCAGCCTGACATACTTAGTATATGATGCATATAAAATGGTCTCATAGTATTTGTATCAATTTCACAGGGCAAAGGGTTTTAGGACTACCTGAACCAATCGCTTTTCTTAGTTTCCTGGAAAATAATTCTCATCAGAAGTAATTGGACCAAACGGCAGTGCTTTTAACGAGAAACTGATGATATTCTGCCAGCAACAAAAGCACCAATATTTTCAGTCTATAGCTCTATAAATAAGGATTTATTGAAAATCCAATATCATGCTACATAGACACAGTTATAATCATGGATATCAATATATACTACTAGGAACTAGATCATAGACTTTTTGGAGGACTACTTATGGACTACTAAGAGTTCTGCAATGGAGAGGAAGAGATAATGCTATGTAGTGGAATCAGGTAGACCATGATTTTGAATCTGGGAAAACCTTTTGGTATGGAATCCCTCCGAGTCTCTCTTTCCTTATCTACAAAGTTGGCACCCCTATTGTTGTGCAAGGTTGGTCCAAGGAATAATATGACTGTGTAATGTAAAAGGTATGACACGTATGTGTTCTCTGAATCATAGATCTCTTCACTAGACAATAATTGGAGAATCCTTTATAATGGCCTGCACATCAGAGTGTGTCCCTGTAGACACTGTAACTTAAGAGGATTTTAAGTTGGTTTTATATAGATAACACCTACGAAGTGGTGTGGTTGGTATATTCATTTTGGACATTAAACAATGGAGGTGAAAGATAGCAAGGTTATTGGTTCAGGTGCTGTCCTCTATTGCTTATGGAGATAGACCAGAATAATCATCTGAGTGCTTGGTGATTATTTATGTAATCAATTCAAGGCACTAGAGAAATGTGAACCCTGGTGCTTATGAGATATTTGGAGGAGACGGGAGACATATGACTGTCTGCATGGTTTACCTAAGATCTTGGTGTTCTTTTTGATTTTCCTATAGGCAGAATGAAATGAAATATTGCTTGAATCATTTAGAAAAGCCATTGAAAGTCTGAATTCTGATCCTATCCCCAACTTACAAAGCCACATGCTCTCCTTATGTAACAAGATCATGGAGATATAGTGTCTAGGACTAGTCAAAGGCCAAGGCAGTGTGTACTAGACATAGTGAGGTTAAGTGTGTATTTCCAGTGTGCAGTCCTGTAGAGTTCAATGGACAAACCCATTCAGAAAGAGGAGAGACCCTCTCACAACTGAGCACAAATCAGGCCATTTAACCTGAATCTGTCACAAAGTTATGCATGGGGAGAATGACACTTCTTTTCTTTCCATACCAGAAGCGCTTGAACGTGGACTAGATAGAATACTTAGGTATAGTGAAATCTACAGAAGAGCAAGAATGGTTGATTCATACATCTATACATTCAACATTTAAAATTTGTTAAAGGTCTACTTTTTTCTGCTCTAGGCTCTGGTGTTCTAGAAATGAAAAAGATGTTCTCTAGTCTCAAGGAATGCACGTTTTAACAGGGGAGACAAGCAAACAAGTGATTTTCAGTATGGAATGATTTATGCTACTTTGCGTTCAATAAGATGTTTTCCATTCATAGGATAGTGATATCCTGATATATTTTCTACCTTCTCTTTATATTTTCCTGTTAATTAATTAATCTATCCAAGAAACCGCCATTAATTAAGAAGTTATAACAGAGTGGTAAGAGCTATGATGTGGTAAATATGAGATTCTTTGGTCATTTCTGTATTCAATCTTATGCTGCTTACATGTTTCTTTATATCATTTCATTATACCATTCTTTTATTTGTTCATGAATTAAACCCAATAGCCTTTGTCGCACACTTAGAATGTACTAGACACTGTACTGCTTGCCCAGTATCCAAAAATAAAACACTTGATCCTTGACCCTAGGGAGTTTACAAGGAGACAGACAAGTAAACAGGTCAATTCAATTCAGGATAACATTTCTTTTCTGAACATATGTTACATTATTGCTCTCCAGATTGGGACCAAAGTACTTACACATTAGGCTTTTCTGCTGGGCTACCTTGTGACAAACCCACCCTTTTTGTTTGCTGCAGTCAGTTACAAGGCTTACAATGACATTGTAAAGGAGTCATATTTTCTTCCCTTGTAGCACTCCATCACACTTTGTCACCATGGCATTAGATATCAGTAAGCATTATTAGAGGATCCAGTGTGCTCAGCTGTGTGTCAGGTACCATGGGGATCCCAAATAAATATGAGATGCAGCATCTGCCCATGGAGAGTTCAGTCTGGTTGGGGAGCTAAGATCATCCAGTGATTTCCCTGCAAGCAATATAAGAAAGTCTCTAACTATATGTTACTTTGTAGACTTCTTAGTACTCCCCTTCTCTTTCTTCCTTGGCAACCCTGCTATCATTTATATGTAGACTTACCATTCAGGTTCAGTGCTGCCTTGTGGGTAACTTTTGCATCAGTGTGCAAACTTAGCCACATCTGAACATTGTTGGCTCTAGAAACCAGAGGAATGTAATGTTAAATGCAGTTAAGTGGATAAGGTAAAGGGAATGGAGCACTAGGCTAGGAACTCAGCCTTTTAGTATCACAGAGACTGTCTTGCCTTGAATAAAGTATCATTATTCACTGGTCTTCTGATGTTGGCCAGGAAATCAGCTATGTGGATTTTGTGGTTTTGTATACAGATTTGAAGTGGGAAAGTGGAGGATCTCTTTGCTGTTTACAGAAGAATTTTGTAGAATTAGTGATGTCAGGTATCCCTTAAATATTTTAAATCAAAGGGTGAGATTTGCGTTTCTTGGCATACTGGTATACTTTGTCCATGGATTTAGTATATGCATAAGTGAATGTATGTGTGGTGGGAGGAGAGTGAGAAGAGGGGAAAAGAGATTGAAAAAGAAAGAATGGATGAGAGGGAACAATAATAGGTTTGCCAGTTTGCTATGATTTTTCTGAAAATATTCCACCGTTTTTAGAGTCTCCTTATTATGGCAAATACTTTTCCTTCCAGTGTTATGAAATGGAGACATGCCTACTGGGCACCCCTGGTTGCTGGAAAGTGTTACTCCTTTGTTCATCAGCATCCCTACATTACCCTTTTTGTCACCCAAGCTGAGATCATAGCTGGAGGAAGAAAATGCAATTCATTTCTTCTACTGCTAATGGAGACTTGGGTGAAACCTCTTCCTGCCGTTAGGAGGGGTGAAATGGCCGAGACAGTCTCTTTGGTGAGGCATTTTAAAATTTTAGTTCTCTAATGTTGAATGCTTCTGAGCTGACACTCTGAGAGTGTCATAGTGGGTAGAACCATGCTGAATTCTAGCCATATGTGTATGGGGATTTATAAATTCATTTTTTTATTGTTGTTCAATTTGCCAACATATAGAATAACACCCAGTGCCCATCCCGTCAAGTGCCCACTTCAGTGCCCGTCACCCAGTCACCCCAACCCCCCGCTCACCTCCCCTTCCACCACCCCTAGTTCATCTCCCAGAGTTAGGAGTCTTTCATGTTCTGTGTCCCTTTCTGATATTTCCCACTCATTTTTTCTCCTTTCCCCTTTATTCCCTTTCACTATTTTTTATATTCCCCAAGTGAATGAGACCATATAATGTTTGTCCTCCGATTGACTTATTTCACTCAGCATAATACCCTCCAGTTCCATCCACGTCGAAGCAAATGATGGGTATTTGTCGTTTCTAATGGCTGAGTAATATTCCATTGTATACATAAACCACATCTTCTTTATCCATTCATCTTTCGATGGACACTGAGGCTCCTTCCACAGTTTGGCTATTGTGGACATTGCTGCTAGAAA